ATTGATAGCGGCGATATAGCGCTTTGACAGATGACGTTTAAGTTCATTTGCTATACGCTACGCCCTACGTCCAAATTTTCAGAACCAACTTGACCACGTTTTTATTTGAACGCTCGTTAGTTTAAACTTTCCAAATGTTTACAATGCAAATAAGTACCTATCCACCAAGTCGCAAACCTGTCAATGCCAAAGAATCAAACTGTCGTGGTAGTAATTTGTAATTCGCTCTACTACGATTTCTACTCATAATGATTTATTACAAGGTCACTAACTGGGATTAGTTTTGGGGCAACGGTAATCCATCAGCGCATAAAAGTATTTGTGGTTTTCACAAGTATTTGATCAATTAAACACCTCTGTTCTGTTGGTATGAAATATGCCGCAGATGTGAGAAATTCCGACTTTTTTTTTATTAAATCAAACACTGCTACTTAAAATAATTATACAAACCATTCTCAAACTATTGTTATATAAAATTGTTTGATTCGAAAATTACTGACTACTATAATATCGATTGATATTTGTGAACAACTTAAAAACTGAATAAAAACTATAAAACAGTGTTTTGAAGTTAGAATATTGAATCACAACAAAGAAACCTCCGAGGTTTTTACGTAAAACGACATAGAAATATTGATTGAATCACGTTCTGAGTTGACTGGCGGAAATGAATTATTGCAGTATGTTTTATTAGCCTTACATTGTGAAAAAATTAATAAAATTAATTTTTTTATGATTGTGATATATACACACCTTCGTCCTAAATTGGAAACTCTAAGCCTGCCTTGAAAATCAATTGCTGTTTATAGAAAAACAGAACTATCTATCAACATTTTATAGTAGGTACATTGCCATTCATTGCGGTGTATAATGTGCAGGATCTTACAATTGTAAAAATATTTCTAAAACTATGTGAACACCTGTAAACAAAAGGTGGCAGTGGAGGGCTAGTTTTTGACCCACTCACCATAACCAGAAATCTGCCCTAACCTATAAACAATATAACAGGGGACCTACACTTTTCTCTTCCATCCTAATAGCAAAATAAGTTATTGCAAGTACGTATTATTATCAAAGTTATATTAGACTAATCTCTTTGCAAGTAATTATTTCGTGTTAATGTGTCAATATGTTTCAGTGTCAAATGAGAGAGCTATCCATAGAAAAGTGAAACACAGTGTATATTGTATATCTCTGTAATGCGATACTCAATTGTTATTTTGTTAAATGAAATAAATCATAGTGAAAAATTAGCGAAGTTACAGTGAAATATACCAAAAACATGACTAACACAACTTTGAGGAGTGCGTGAATCGATTGTTATTAAATTATGTTCAGTTCAGTTTTTTTAAGAATGAACTCGATATTCCACCTATAGGTATAGGGCTGGAAAATCCACATGGTCATCTGCCTTTACATGAGAGCGGCAAAGTAAAGTAAAGAAATCCGTGCCATAGACAAGGATGGTTACATTGAAGACGTTTCATAATCTGAATAGTCACTGTCCTGTCCGTTTCGGGTTAGAAGTGGGAGTTACTATTCAGATTATGAAACGTCTTCAATGTAATCATCCTTGTCTACCGCACGGATTTCTATGACTTACTTTATCGCTCTCACGTAACGGCCGATGAACCATGGGGACTTTCCGAACCTGTATATGGATACCAACAATGTCATTTTGACTCGATTCTTCCATAAATTAATAGATTTTGAATAGAAAAATAAACGGGTTTCACAAAGAAGCACCCAAAATGATAAAATTAAGAATTACATATTAACAATTGTCAACTATCTACAAAACTTTTATTTCAATTTTTAAAATGACCATATTGGCGATAGAAAAAAGTTACTCGAGAAATTACTTATAGGGGAAGATGTTTGTTCATATTTAAAAAAAAGAGAGAAGGCTGACTTTTTTCTCCCCGTTTGAAGAGGTCTGTTTCACATAAATGTCCCCCTTGAATTTTCAACGAGGAATCACCTTAATTTTTCGCACTTGCTTATACATATAGGTACACCCTGTACAGGGTGTCCGGTAAGTACCTCCTAATCTCTCGGGAGTGTATAGGGGAGGTCAAAATAAAACTAGTCCTTCCTATAATTTTGTTTCCTAATGTGCCCCCTAACGGAGTTATGGGGGGTCAAAGGGGTACCTAGAAATTAACGTTTAGGGTTATAACTTTGAAACCACCCTGTATATTTTAATAAAATTTTCGTACGTTGTATTACACATGGAGCTCTACGATTTGATGCTAAAATCAACTTTTTGCTATTATCAGGTGTCCAGAAACGGACTGGCCCTATCACAATTTTTCTCAAAATTTTGACAGAAGTAATTTTATCAAACTGAAAATATTATTATTAGATACTCTGAAGGTTTTTCTTTAAAAATGGTACTCTTTATTTATTTCGAAAAAATGAACGGTTTGCGAGATAAATCGGTTTTGAAAAAAATTGGTAACAAAAACAACAATTAAAATTTATTTTTTTTACATATTATTTCATGCATTTAATTTCTTTAACTTTATCAAGTCCAGAAATCTTTGAACGGGTTGGCTATACTTTATGAGCAAGTAGTGACCAATTAAAAATAACATTTGAAAAATAACTTACTTACAAGACATGCAACAAAGAACATTCAACAATGAACAAAGGTACCTAAATGTTACTTCGGTAGATGTTCAAAATGAGCACCCCGTACTTCAATGCACTTTCTAATCCTACGAATGTTTTCCCGGTGCACTTGAAATAATATTCCGTGATTATTGCGGAGATGGTCACAGTTCTGTGTTAGCCTCAGCAGAAGTTCCTCTCTACTATTTACGGGTGTTGAATAAACGTTATTTTTTAAATGACCCCACAGAAAAAAGTCTAATGGGTTTAGGTCGGGCGACCTAGGTGGCCATAATACAGGTCCGCCTCGACCTATCCATCGATCACCAAAAACATTCGTCAGATGTTGACGTACTAAACGATCAAAGTGGGGTGGTGCACCGTCATGCATGTACCACATTTCAGTTCTTATTTGAAGGGGCACTTCTTCTAACAAAATATTTAGATTTTCCTCTAAAAATTGCAAATAAAGAGCACCATTAAGTCTTTGCTCCAGAATAAATGGACCAATCAAATGATTCCCGATAATGCCAGCCCACACATTCACCATAAACCTTTGTTGGTAGCGAGTTTGAACTAAAGCGTGAGGGTTTTCTTCATCCCAGACATGTAGATTATGCGAATTAATTATGCCGTCTCTTGTAAAACCTGCTTCATCGGTGAACAAAATAGATGTACCAAAATTATGATTCCGAATATGATGCTGTAAAAACCAATTGGCGTATTGAAGTCTTTTTGGATAATCATCTGGAGACATAGCATGTACTTTTTGGATGTGGTACGGGTAAAGCAATTGTTCTTTCAGAGTTTCATGTACAGCCCATTTTGTAACATTGTTTTGCGCCGCAAGCTTCCTTATGCTATTTGAAGGATTATTAGCAACGTCTTCCAATATTTGTTCCTCTACATGAGGGTCTCGTACTCTCCTCGGGGCTCCTGCTCCACCACGGCGTGGCAAAAAGCTTCCTAAATAAAGGATTCGGAAGAAATTAGTTTCACTAACGTTTTTCACTATTTTTTTTTACCTGTTTCTCTTAAACTACGATCAACTCTTTCAAAAGTTTTTGGACTCGGCAAATGTCGACCCGGAAACCTTTCCTCATAAAGTCTTCTTGCCTCCACGGAGTTGCATAATGCTTCCCCATAAATTAGGTGCATATCAGCATATTCTGCACAGGAATATTCTTCCATTTTTAAATGTTATTTCTAACGGCTTAAAACGAATACCACAATAAAATTGAATTTTTATTCTGTCACGCGCCTTTGACAAGTACTTTAAAATCAACAGGGTCTAACAACGAAAACAATAGAAAAGAACTCCATGGAGACAAGAGCAATAATAATTTGTAGATGTATTTTGGTCATAGATGTTGATTTTACAAGAAACGGCATTATTCATTCCCTTAATTCACCACCAGTAAATGTTTATGGTGAATCTGTAGGCTGGCACTAGCGGGAATGATTTTATTGTAAAAAAATAAATTTTAATTGTTGTTGTATTTGTTACCAATTTTTTTCAAAACCGATTTATCTCGCAAACCGTTCATTTTTTCGAAATAAATAAAGAGTACCATTTTTAAAGAAAAACCTTCAGAGTATCTAATAATAATATTTTCAGTTTGATAAAATTACTTCTGTCAAAATTTTGAGAAAAATTGTGATAGGGCCAGTCCGTTTCTGGACACCTGATAATAGCAAAAAGTTGATTTTAGCATCAAATCGTAGAGCTCCATGTGTAATACAACGTACGAAAATTTTATTAAAATATACAGGGTGGTTTCAAAGTTATAACCCTAAACGTTAATTTCTAGGTACCCCTTTGACCCCCCATAACTCCGTTAGGGGGCACATTAGGAAAAAAAATTATAGGAAGGACTAGTTTTATTTTGACCTCCCCTATACACTCCCGAGAGATTAGGAGGTACTTACCGGACACCCTGTATAAGGATGGTCCCGCTAAAATCGTTCCCTTATTTTTCTCTGTTAATCTGTTAAAAAAACATAATCCTCGATGACGGAAATGCTACTACATTCAATTGTATTTGCGGTACTGGAACAATAACGGAGGAAAAGGTGGCAAGACTTTCGCCTGATCACCTGCAGATCAACATAGACGCAATATTGACAGCCTAACGACTTCGCCTCCGCGATTTCTAAGCGGGCGGTGCCGATGCGAAGGAAACCACAAATTGCGACAACTTTAACCGACACAAGTAGCGGAAATCCATCAGCGACCGAACCAGCGACGCAAGTAAACATTCAGCTTGGTCATCTCGGTTTCGGTGAAGCTGGGGTTTCACAGGTGGGGGGGAAACGGGGACCACGCTCGCTTCCCCACTTTACTGAAAAAGCGCTAAATTGCGTCCGACTTATTTCACGCAAGGCCTTAATATATATTTTGCTTCTTGGGTGCGCGCCTCTTAGTTTTAACTTGCTTTGACTTAATTTGGCGGGAGGGTGCTCGAAGTAGTCGATTTTTTTTTCCTAACAGTGCGTGATCCTAAGGCAGTTTATTAATTTAGGAAACTTGTTTTTATTCAAAGGACTTAGATAACAAAGAAGTAAGTTCCCCCTTTTTCTTTAAATACATTTAATTTTACTTCCTATTAAACTATTTCATAATATAAAATAAAAAAATATTGGATCGCTACTTTCTGGTCCTATTTTTGTCTTTTTCTTTGTTGAGAGCAAGTTATGTTTTCCATCACATTCCTTTTTAAAATTATCAATAATTCATTCAGTGCAGATTCATTAATGTCAGATTTTCTCAAACTTATTTTTAGGCGTCATTCAGTATTATATCTTATTTTTGCTTGTTATTAAGTCATCTAAGTGTTTCATAGCTTAAAATTAGATATGATTTTGGAAATGTTTAGAAAAATACAAAATACAAATTATTTACTGTACTGGTATTAAATTAATGTAAGCATTGCTGCCTGATCAATTTACACCGATACAAGATTATGAGCGTACAACATAAGTGCATAATGTTACCTCAAGACAAAAATGCCTTTAAAGTAGATTTTGTTACATTGAGTTAGCTAATATATTAACACTTTTTTTATGATTAATCCTTATATACATATCAGATTATACAAATACCTGTATATATTTTGGCATTTACTTCTAGGACACCCTGTATACAAGGTTCTAAAACAGATTGTTGTTAGAAATTATATTACCTATAGTTAATATATTAGCTAAAGTTACATGAGTCAACTAATCCATATAAAAAATAAAATTATTTAATATTTTCTTAAACGTACAATTATTAATAAGTGATTAGAATTACCTTGACAGCTCCGTAATTTAAAGCAATATTTTCTATTATGTAACAACTTATTGCCGTATTCAAAAACATAAATAACTTTGACATTTAACCGTTTCATAATGACGATAATTATGTATAAAACAATTACAACGTTATTCACTAAAATAATTTAATAGTTCTAATTAAAATTCCCCTTCTTGCCCATAAATAATTAAAACAATTACATTTAATGAATAATGCAGATCAAAGTAATTTTTAAATTAACATAATTAATTATTTGAATTAGTGTATAAATGTTAAGTACTCCATTAAATATTAAATTAGACATACATTAGATTAGGCTATATCTGAGCAATCTCTAGGTACAGAATAAAAAGTATGGAAAGTATATACAAGGTAATCTATAATTTTCTTTAATGTAAAACGTCCTGCTGAGTTAGAATATGGAATTAGGACAATAATTGAGCCTCACTTGAAAAAGACATATCCGAGAAACGATTTTTTTAGTGAGAAAAACTGTATTTTTCAACAAAATGTGTACGTAATGTATTACAAATTTTTCAACAATAAATATTTATACAATAACGTTTTCTCGAAACAATTTTTCTAAAACTTTCGTGTTTAAAAATTCGAAATTTTTAGTTATACTTATACAGGATGATTAAAAAAACCGCTGACAGACTTCTAGGGTAAGTAACACGTGAAAAATTAAGACTAAAAGTCTTAATAAACATAGGGTCGCAAATGCCTCCTTAACGAGATACAGGGCGTCAAAGTTTCTGTAAAATTATAGCGTAAAAATGACAAAAAGAATCTTATAATCTAGTTTGCTTAACTCACTTGTACACATTGACATTAGTGACAGGCGATGTTTAATTTTATTTTGAATAGCACAAGCCTACTATGCGAAACTAAAATGAATGAAAATAAAATTGGATTTACAAATTTTCTACAAAGGTGTTTCTCTTAAAAATGGTTGCTTTAATCCAAATTTTGCAAGAGACCAATTCGATAGACAATTGAACACTTTACACGAAAATAGTGCCCTTTAGACAAAATTAGCAGTGGCGCAGAAAATATTTTTAAAAAAGGGTCACGTTGACCCCGTCTCTACGACACTGCTGCTCATAAAATTTTGAGCAG